TGACAGTGGTATCCAGGCACCATCTAGTTCTTCTAGTCTCATGGTTATATAGGATGAGGTACACATTGTCTTCTAGTCCCTTGGACTAATTGTTTCTATGTGTCTTTAGTTTTCTTCATTCTTCTTTGCTCTGGACGGATAGAAACAATTGTTGCATCTAGGTGGTTGCTTGCAAGCTTTGAAGACTCTATTTGCTACTCACTAGAGTAGGATGTAAAACAGTGTTTTTGTGTAGCATGTTGTGCTAATTGACTTGATGTGTCCTCTGAGCCAGTAGGCCAAGTTACTTCATCAGGGTGGTTGACTATGGCTAAGAAGTTACCATAACTTTGCCCCGTTAGTTCTGTTTGTATGGACATTCATACAGCACATACAAATACGTATGTACAGATATCATCTGCCAACCTTATATATGTTCATGGGTATATTCCCTTTTGCGTCAGCCTGATCATTCAGTTTGTCTACTCATCTATTTTCCCGTAGATTAACGTTATCACTGATAATGCGGTATTATATATGTAAAAGTGTCTATCTTCATTGTCTGTACCTCTTGTGCACCTCTCTGTGTCTTCCTTTTCTTTTGGTTATTGTGTGGGTCATTCAGGTTGGTATATTACCTTTCCCCTCACCCAAATCAATATTTGCCTCTCCTTTCCCTCCCCTGCCATCCCTGGTAACCAACAAAGAAAGTTTCCTTCCATATATAAACCTTTCCTTGACTTTTTATAGTAGTGAACTAATGCCATATTTGGCCTTCTGTGATCGACTTTACTTCACTCACCATAATGTCTTCCAAGTTTATCCATGTTATGAGGTGTTTTGTGGATTCTACATTATTCTTTATTGTTGCATAGTATTCCATTGTGTGTATGTACCACAATTTGGTTATCCATTCCTCTGTTGATGTGCACTTACGTTGTTTCCATCTCTTTGCTATTGTGAATAGTGCTGCAGTGAACATGGGTGTGCATCTATTTGTGTCCTGTTAATCACTTCTTTAGGATATATACTTAGTAATGGGATTGGTGGATCAAATGATATTTCTAGTTCCAACTTTTTAAGGAATCACCCTACTGCTTTCCACAGTGGTTGTATAATTTTGCAGTCACACCAGCATGTATGAGTGTCCCAGTCCCTCCACATCTTTGCCAGCATTTATTATTTTCCCCAGCAATGTTTTCAGTGCATCGATCTCGTACATGTTTTGTAAAATTTCTCTCTAAGTTTTTAGTTTTGTTTTAGTTAACTCTTGATTATTTGTATAAATGTAAAGACATCCTTAACTTTGGAATTCCCTAAGGTTGTATATTTATAGATGGATATATTTGACCCCTACATATATTCCACTTCTAACAAAATAGTGCTGTCACCCTCACTTCTCATTATGGTAAAGAATTCAGGTGAGCTGCTATTTGATATGTTGCTGTATTTGATATGTTAATTTTTCAGACAATCTAAGTTGGAAAAGATCATTTTAAGTATTGTTGCTTAAGTACTGAAATTTTCCAGTTTGCCTGCAGTATGGGAAATACGGATAAAGTAATGAAAATGTACTTATTTTTTATTATGTTAAGAAAACTTGAAATTATGGAAGAGTGAGATGAGAAAATAATATTTCAAAATGAATGTTCTCTCACAATGAGCATTTTAGTTTATACTTAAATATGAAAGCACAGTGCAGCTTGAAAGCACAGTGCAACTATGGAAGAATATGATTGTGAAGCCTCCTGAAGGATTAACTTAGGCTTTTGAAGAAGGCCCAGACCAATGACTTTCTGAAAAGAGAACTGAAATCTTAGGCTAACTGCCAATTGATTGCCCTGTCACCCTCTGTGAACAGTATCCTGTGTAATGCTGTGTGTCCCTTTGAGCCAAGGGTTTTGTTTTATTTATTTATTTATTTATTTATTAGGATTTGGGTGAAAATTTACAGAGTAAATTCACTTTTCATACAGCAGTTCACATACACTTTGTCTCATGTCATTGACCAAAATTTACAATGCAGCAGCTCCCCTCCCACTTCCTCCCCATAGTTACCTCCTCCCAGTGTCCGTCCC